AGAGAGAGAGAGAGAGAGAGAGAGAGAGAGAGAGAGAGAGACAGAGAGACAGAGATAGGTAGATAGGTAGATAGATAGGAAGAAAGGGGAGACGGAAGAAGCGAGATCGCGAAATTACGTTGATCCACACCGGTGGTCAGACGGGACCAAGATGGCGGGCATCGTTCGGAAAAGTCGGGCCCAAAGATTCCCGTTTTCGCGCTTTCGTTCCACGGCTGTTTTGCATTCTCGCGCGCCTTCAGCGGGTCCCGGTCGACAGAACGTGAGAGACGGGTGCGAGCATCGCCGGCGTTCGTTTCCTCGCGTGGCGTGAGACGGGGCTCGAGTTTTTCCTACACGAGTCCCGTTCGAGTCCCGCGCGCAGACCGCACCCGACGATTTTCCTCCGTTTCTCCCGGCGCGCGTCCACGCCTTCCGACGTGCGACCGGGATTGTGTCTCGGGCGCGACTCGGCTAACGGGAAACAAAAGAGAGAAACTGGAAGATTTGGTCCGATTGGCCCTGAAACGGCTCAATGTCAGCTACCTCACAATATCGTCACGTTTGGTATGGTTCGAGCGAGAGACGTCCGTGTGTCGCGAACGCGGATGACGAGGGGGACGCAACGTTCGCAATTCGCCTTTTCGGTGCCGTTTTCTTCTTTTGCTTCGCGCTGCTACATGCACTGTGCTTACCTCGGCATTTTCCACGGGATATCCAACCTTTAAGAATTTAAATTTTGTCAAGGGGAAAACACCGCTTAATTTTTGCGCGCGCGCGCGCACGCTTTGGTTCGTCCAGAGTACAAACAATCGTCGGGGAGAAATTGGCAAGAGCACTTCTATTCTCGCGACTTTGTTTCTCGTGTAGAGATAAGAGAGATGCAATTGGGTGACAACGGCTAAAGGGGTAACGCGAGCTGTGCGTAAAATCGGCCAATTCGAAAATTTCGCGATACTCGATTCGTTCCCTACGCCGATCATTCTTTTCATTCGAAACCGATCTACCCTCTTTCGTGTCCCGCGCCGGTGGCGCGAACAGCGCACGCTCGTCCATCCCATCCGACGGACACACGGACGTCAGCAGACCGGGGTCGTGTGAAAAATGGTCTAAACAGTTCCAAATTGTGCCTAAGTTATGAGATTACGTTTTTACTGACTCGCAGTAGCACGAACGAAAATAGTTAAACGAGAGTTACCGCAGCAGCAAACAGATTCAGTTCGGGGGAGCGCGCTCGTCGACTGGGGGCGAGCAGCGGCGAACGCGATAGGGGGTGGGAGCGAAAGCGGTGTGCGTAGAGTTTCTTATTAAAGTAAATTAAACAAGGGCGTGTATATTACTTACACACATACGTTCCAGGGCCGTCCGGCCGCCATCTTGCGTTCAACCTTACGTTCCGTTTTTTCGAATAAGTGCAATTAGGTACACGGACACGATCCACACACTTGGCGGACACGAGCTCACGCTACGTACACACGCGGTGGCGACGAGCGCGGCTGCATCGCGCGCGCATACACACACACACACACACACACACACATACACACAGGTATAAGTATGTACCGTACACACCATGCAAAAAATCTACACGCATATACGCGAGACACGTACACACACGTTTGAGGAAAAATGGAGTAAAACGAACTGTTACGCGCTAGGTTACCGTTTTTTAAATTCTATTTTCAATTCACGCATTCTCGAATGTTGGGATTTTCGTGATCAACGAAGAGCTGGCCTGTCGTTCATATAGAGATACACGGCTTCACACATTCATTTACATACACGCACACACGCTATACACATCTAATACATACACACGCGTCAATTGACACACAAACAATGTACACACCGCTCGCGCGTATACGTAAACACACACACACACACACGACACGTGTACACCGACAAGCGACCGACGTCGATTCGACGGAAAAACAAGGTCTTCCCTCGTGCGCGCGGATCTTCCTTTTTCGGAATTGTGGCGAGACGATTGTGTCATCAAGTGGCGTTGTAATGACATCACTTCGCGCTTAATCCAAATTCCCGGCTGCGATATGCGCGTTTCTATTCCCCGTCTCGCGCGCTCGATATGCGTGACGAGAGGATTCCTCGTTGCTGATATCGATCCTCTCGCGCGATTGACCCAGCGCGAATTTCACCGGGCTGATACTCGTCTCGTTATCGTCAACGCGATCGGGGTAATAACGGCCATGCGAGATACATCACCGCGCGGCTGCATCCTTACATTCACAACGTTTACATTCACGTTTTCGGTTTCGCCACTTTGTGACGGAGAGAGACCACGGCGGATTCGGAAAATGTCTAAATTCAAAGTGAGGCAGAGTTGTCGAGACGATGCTGCTCTCTTAAATCGCATCTTATCGATCTTTTTATTATTATTATTATCGATTATGAACAATATGTAACGGTAAAAATGAGAAATTAATAAGCAGTGAGAAATGTAAAAAAAAGTCATACTTATTTGATCTTATTTTAGGAGCGCTCTACAAAAGTCTCAAAAATCAGCTATGATTTATTTGAAACCAGTACGACTTTGGCAGCTCTGCTCAATTGCATGAATTGTTCGTTCTATCGCAGAGACAACCAATTTTTGATATCTCGCATCAATTATTTCTAACGGAAACACGAGGAAAATTATAAATATGCGCGGCGAGGATACATATAGCGACTAAAGGGAGATCCGTGCGTTCACGAGTCCGGCAAGTCCGCGCGAGTGCGCCTGAACCAATGTAGCAAATCGAGAAGGTCTCCCCCGTGGGTCGAAAACTCGGTACCTTCCTGATCGGCTTTAATAAGCTCGTAATCCGTAGGCTCTAGTCATGCAATGACTCTAAAGACGTAAAAGGCTCGCGCCGGCGAGCGAGCGGCATCGTATACGTTGATCGACCGCACGCGCGGAGACCGTGAGGTGAAAACAAGAGAAAAGAGAAAGAGAAGGACGAGGGGAAAGGAAACTAAAGGAAAACAGAGAGATGGGGAAAGAGAGAGAGAAAGAGAGAGAGAGGGAGGGAAAGGGGGGAGGAAAAAAGAATGGAACGGAGTACCGACCGAATTGTGTTCAACTGGGCGAATCGACGCCCGTCGTCTCGACGTCGGACGACAAACATGTATCGTAGATAGGGTAGGTAGATATACGACGAACGAGTCGGAAGATTTGAGCGCGAGAATGGCAACATGGGGAAACTGGTGCTGAGGTATCGTCTCCGAGGGCTCGCGAAGGCGAAAGCTCCTCGTATTGCGACTGTCGAGAGTATCCCCGAGCGCGACTCGCGACAGCTGGAAATGAACGAGCTTCGCGAGATTGTACGTTTTCGTATGTTTTCCATTCCACTGCTGTGCGTTAGCGACCGGATGCCGGCGAGAGATGTTCGGTATCCGGTCCATCTTTGATTGGCTGAAATTAACGATGAGCCGTTTCTCTAGAGGCGCTCGAAGCGCAGCCACTACGTGAAACGGCGAGTCGCTGAGTGATTGCTCGATAAATTGGATAGTTCCGTATCAATCGTACTGCATTTCGTCCGAGAAAGAGGGAGAGAGTGCGCGTTGAATGCAGCCAAATCATATGGAATTGTGTTATTTCAGCACGATTCTCTAAGATGAAATCTGCAACGTGCTCTTTTTGTCTCTTGTTTCTTTCTCTTCATCTAATTTTTGACTTGTTCTTAAATCAGTACAAGATAGAGAGCAAGAAACAGGAAGCAAAGAGCGTACTGTAGATCAGGCAGAACTGTTAACGCGTTACTCCAATCTCCCTTCACGTTAGATAATCGGCTTTCATCGAATGTTGATTCGCTAATGTTCGTGCCACACTTCGATTTGCGAGATTTCTTTTCGTTTTCAATATCAAACAACTGTGTGTGAGGTAAAAGCAACAATTCCCGAGTACGCATCTAATTCTGGACGTTCTTGTTTTTGGTTTTTAAATACGAATATTTCACTTTTCAACATGGAACATGTGTATACATCTGTGTGATACATGTATGAATATCTTTTTATGTTGAAGATGTTTAAACATCCGTATATTTAAGGACTAGGACAATAAAAATGTCCAGGATTAGATGCGTGTCCGAGTGTTGGTATACTGAGAAAAACCAGCGATTGGGTTGACAAAATCGGTGGCTATCAAAGAAGTATTGTATCTATTCAACAAATGCATTAATACAACAATAAGTTGCGTTCGTACTACTATATCAATGCAGATATCAACTTATTGTAACGCGTATTTTATTGAATAGATAGAATATTTGGCCAATATTGATGGCCGGTGACCACCGATTTTGTCGATCCAACCGCTTTTTCTCTCAGTGCTTAGACCTCAGCGCTCCACGGGGAGCGAAACAGTTGTCAAACACCTCGGGCGTGGAAAAGGAAATGAAAATCATCCAAATGAATCAAATCGGACCTACGATTCGCGTCGCGTCCTCGACAGTCGCAGATCTCATTCTCGCCGATGCCGATCGGAGGCGAACGTTCGCCCTGCACTGACTCAGCCTAGACTTTTCGACTAGTAGCGGTTAGGTAAATGGCGCTGGTACTACGCAGCTAGCACCGATGGTACTCGTAGTTTGGCGCTTTAGTTGTTTATATATCGTGTTCTTTTCTACATCTACTATCACTATCGCCGGACCCGGCCTGGTCGGCCGCAAAATCGCCGAGACCGTGTGTGACGAGCCGAGCCACGCCGTCGAAACGCACTCTTTTTGACCGACGACCAGCGCCGATATTGTCGACGAAGCAGCGCGAATATTCCCCTTTTCGATCGCCCCGAATATACCAGAATCCCAACCGAATTAGTCTCATTCGGTCCATGTGATCCTATCGTAATTTTATCACGCGATTTTATCGGCTTGAGAAGAAAGGAAAGAGAAAAAGTAGATCGTGCAACACGTAGTGCAAAACGTCTAAGAACCGTCATCGCCGGGATCCACGACGTCCACGGGACATGTCTCGCTCTTGTCAAACAGCTCTCGGACGTCTCTCGGCTTCCCGGCTTCCCGGCCGGCTGGAATAAATGCAAGTGCGCACGCGCGCGCGGAAATTAACGATGAAATCGCGTTACATATCGGAAGATCGGTCGTCGGTGCTCCAATCAAATGTCAGTACCAAAATACCACGAACCTGGATACGCCGGAACTTCAAAGTACGACCAACTAGTTTACGGACCAAGTACGCTGAACCGCCGGTAACAAATCAATCAAAAGGCACACACGTGCACGCGCGCGCGCCGCGACTGCGCGAGGAAAAACGCGCGCGGATTCGGTCGTTTCGCGCGTGGCTCCTTCGCCGTCCCGGTCTCGACGTCGTGTTCGACAACTCGAGAAGGTCGCGCGACCAGGTCGGGTCTCCTCTACGGGCAACAATGGTTTTAACAGTTAATAATAATAATATATATATATATATATATATATATATTTATATATATATATATATATATATATATATATATAAAAAAAAAACAGAATAAGTGACTAATCGAGGGAGAAGTAAAGTACATACTAAGGAAACTGAGCATCCGATCCTCGGAAAGTCCCCCCTTCCTCCGCACCTCCAGTCCCTTACAACAAGATAAACCCTCCGCCAACGAGAGAACCTCCGCGCAATCCTGTACGCTCTTATACAGCTTTCACCCCGCAGCTAACTCCCCAACCACCTACCCCCCTCCACCCCCCGGGCCGCATTCGCATACTCGGCGACACGCGAAACAGCATACCAGAAAATAACAGTACACGCAGTCTGCTCTCTAACATTACAGCTACAACAACATTGCAGCCTCCCGATACCAGTCGTCTCCTTACAGTAATAGACGGGCCGCCGAGGCAGGACCGACGGTGCCGCGCGATCGCGGAGGGGAGGGGGCGCACTTTCGCCCCCTCGGAGTGTAGCGTTAGAAAACGCGCGACGATTAGAGCACGACCAATCGACAACGGAGCATATCAACGAGAGGAACCGATCGGTCGTCGGGCCGCGGCGGGGTGTTGTCGTCGATGGCGCGCCGAGTGGTGCGCGCGCTGGGAAATCGGTATCACAGCGGGACCGAGTTGGATATATCGAGATCGTCGTCGAGAGACCTCGGCCAAACAGAGACGCGCCCCCTCGGAGTCTGAGACACATACCCCGTTGGCGCGTCCTCGACGCGGACGCGGAATCTCGAATCGGGTCCAATCGATTAGATTAGAGAGATTAGATAGATCGGAAGCGCGCGACGCACGGCGACCCCAGGTCGACCGGCGGCCACCGTCGATCCTGACGTCGGACCAGCGCGCCCGTGCGCGCACCGGGCTGCATACTCGCCCGGTGGTCAGCGCAGCAAAAAATACCGGCAAAAACACCATACACACTACAAGCAACAATAGACATTTCTCTCAGCAATGGGCGCACGCAGCGATCGCGAGGCGTCCGCGCGGCGCCCGCGCAACGCTCGCGCCCGTGCGACAAAGCCAAGAAAAAAAAAAAACAGGGGGAAAAAAGAATCTACAGGTTACAAAGCAAAATATAAACTACAGTCTCTACGTCATATATCCAACAGTGATTTACGCTAAATGCAGATGCCACGAAGAGCAATGCAAAAATAAAATAAAGCAAGGATCGCCGCGGCCTCGAGTCGCGATCGCTCGTTCCCGCGTCGGGCCGGCGAACAGATCGCGATCGTGATGTCGGCGTGTCGACGATGTGAGAGACTACGACGCGATCGCGACACAAAGAGACGACAGCGAGGGCGAGTTCAGCTCGCCGATCGCTCCACTGCGCCGATCGGTCGCCGCTCACGCTCACGCTCGGAACGCCGTCGATCGCGACGCCGAGGCCGGGCGAGAGGTTTCTCACAAATCAAAACCCGCAGTCAGCGTAGAATATAAACGATAAGTGCAGAGGAAAAATAAACTAATACTATAGTATATATAAAAGAAAAAAAAATACACACACAGAAAGGTATATATTATATATAAAATATATTATTATTATTATTATATGATTCTCTTATGATTATTATTATTATTAAACGATACATAAAACAATATTATTATAATAACACCGCAAAAAAAAATAATAATACTATATTACTACTATTAATTAATTATTATGATTCTTATTATAAATTTAATGAAGACAAAATAACATTCCAACCGTCAATGTGCCACACGACTTTTTATATGCTCTTAAGGGAAACTAAAATGACGCTAACGCGAAGTTTAGGGGTACGCGAGGTTGAAACAGTACCGAAGTGGTGATCGTCGTGAAGCAGCGTGAAGGCAGGCTTGAGGCGAAGGGCGCCGCGTGGCGCTCGTGTGAGGGCTGGCAGGAGTCTACGTCGGGGCGAAATGCAGAACGGAGAGAACGCCGGGGGTGGGTGAGGGTCGAGCGAACGAGGCGAGACTTTATCCGGCTGAGGCTTTGGCGGGCGCCTTTTTTCGCGTGAGCTTTTTCGTTACTCTTCCTGTAGGAGTTCGCGGGACCTTCCTCGCCGGAAGTTTGCGACTCATCTCGGTCATTACACGTCGAGATCATGTCGGACGACTCTCGTAGGTAGGATTCTTTATTCGGCGCGTTTTCGCGGCAGACGACTCGGGCATTAAAACGTGCTCGTCCCGGGCACGCGAGATGTGCATCGACAAGCAGCGTGATGCATCGGAGAATCGCTTTTGGAAATTTCCTCCCCCTCTCCGGGAGGGTACTCCGGGACGCTGTGTAGCGTCGCGATTCGGTATTAACATGAACTTTCGTTATTTCGTAGTTTGAATCCGGTCTATACCACCTCGCGTTTTAACGCCCGGGGCTCGATCGAAATACCTCTCGCCGCGCATCGGGACACGCGGCTTTATTGTGCACCGAGGGTAGGATAAAAGCGAAACGCAACACGTTCATTAAGTTAAGACGAAAAAAGCTTCGACGACGGCGCGCCGGCAGCATTTTCGAGGTGAGAGACAAAAATTCTCGCGCGAAACAAGCATATTTTTACTACGGTCGCGATCCGTGCTTATATACAGCTGCATTCGACAATTCGATTGGGTCAACTCGCGGCGAAGCAATTGATACGCTCTTCGAATGGCAGTTGCGCGATTGATAGCATTGTCGCTCGATTTTCGACTCGACTCACCCAGCTGATTGTAAAAGGGTATTCTAAAAGGAAACAGACACACAGATAGATCTCGTCGTCCCGCAATCTCGCGGAAAGGGAGAGAGTAGAGGAGAAGAAACGCCGAAGTCGAACGTTAGGGTGTATATCGCTGGATAGAGAGAAAGAGAAAAAAAGAAAATAGGATCGACGACGAATAGATTCCGAGCAAGCATACGAGTGATTACGATTACGATGATTAGCATTACGATCGTATAATTAGGTAGACGTAGGCGTAAGCACATTTATTAACTGGCTCATTGATTGCGTGCACTAATTGCCGCTGCGACCGTTACGCACGCAATAACGATTCGCGCCGGAGAATGATTATTATCATTATTATCACCGTCATTATTATTACGATTATTGTTATCACGGCGATCGTGAGAGACTGCTGCGCGCGCGTGCGCGTGTACGTGAGCGTGTGTGTATGTGTGTGTGTATGTGGCGTTTGCATGCGTGTGGGAATTGTGTGTGCTTGTATGTGTGCGTGGGAACCGTATATAGATGCACACACGAGCATATATATATACATATATAAACATATACATAATACATATAAACGTATCCTCGCACGGACTGTCGGCATTCCACGATCATTCCACCGCGTTTCTTTAGTCGTTCTTCAGCTGAACTCTATACAGGGAGCACAGAGCTCGCTGCTTCGGAGCGAGTCTCCGTGCAAAGTCGGGACATGAAAGACGTACCGGACGCGGCCGCGCGTTGTAGACGATCGCGTATCAATTCATTCCAATAGCGTGAAGAAGAGGTATACACATAGACGCGCAGATTATACTGCGAGAATTCCCGCCATTCGTTCGTTCGTTCGTTCATCCGTTCGTTCGTTCGTTCGTTCGTTCATTCGTTCGTTCGGCAAACTTCTCCCAGGGACGTTGAACGACAGTCCGCGGTCCGATAGCGAGTCGGGTGAAGACACTTTTACTCTCCGCCGTCGCTCCTCCCCGAACAATACATTTCCTGGCAGGTGCAACGGAAGGAGTAGGCGCGTCTCGCCTGGACGCGACAATGTGGCAAGGCACGCGTGAGAGACCGCGGGGATGCGTGAGAGGAACTGGGGCGTAATGCAGGAAAAGGGGAGGGACGCGTGCGAGAGGGGGAGGTTTCGAGTGGCTCTCTCGAGCCACGGCGCCCGTTGCTTTCGCTCCGACACGGAGTCTCGAACGTCCGGAACGTCCCGCCGGGCCGTCAGTCAAGCCAGCTGATTCCGTGAGGAACTCCAGTTTCTAGGATTAGCGGCGGCACGGCTCGTCGGGACAGATGCGAGTCGTTCGGGCCGGCAAGCTTGAGCGCTCGGACACGCGAGGCTGACGAAGTTGGTCTGAGAGATCTTCGAAACGGGAGAGATCGCGGTGAGTCGCGGGGGTGCAGGAGTCCGAAACTCGCTGTGCGACCCCTGATGAGCGTCCCTTGGACACTCGCTGCGTCTCGATTGCAATAAGGACGAGCAACCAGAGACAGAGAGCCGGTGAGCCTATCGCCGCGAGCCACTGATCCACGCTGCTTCACCACGATGTGGCCGAAACGTTAAATAAATCGTAATTCTAATTTGGTTGTATATAGAGATTGCGCGAATCATATTTGTACATACATAACCGCGTAGACGTATATATACGTTTTTTCTGCAAGTCGATGACATACACACACACACAGCTCTAATAGCCCCGGTCGGCCGACGACCGATTCTCTTCTTCATAGGCAGAGGACACGCTTTATAGAAATCCGTTTTAACCCAGCCACGATCCTGCGTTATTTCGAGAAGAAACCAAGCGAATACTCATCGGTGACGATGATCGTATCGATTATCCGTCGCGGACGCGACACCTTAGACTCCTTTTGGAGCGGCTATCGCTCTCTGCGACCGGCGCGCCGAGCCACGGCGATCGATCGATCTCACGGCGTTCCTACCCGCCGCACGGCATATCGTCGCGCTGTTATACGCCAAGTGCGACTCGGTGCACACCGTGCCGCCTGCTTCCGGGGAGAAATGTCGGTCAGATTCGCATTTGGCGACGCGACGCGGCGTTTCCGCGCTAAGAAGACTCGCCAGCGAACGCGAACTCTCGCACATCACGCTCTTCGGGACGCCGGTCGTACGACTAGCGTAGCCGTCAACAAGTGTACATTACTCCATTCTTTTGCTCCTCAGACGGTCCATGTGAAACACGATAGATGTTTTCAAGGCACAACTATCGCTCGGAACTCCGAACGGCCGGCGGCCGCGCTTTAGCGACCATCCCGCAAGAAATCCCGACAGTACGATCGATATTCAGGGGTAGCGAGGGAGGGGGTGAAGCGAGAGTTTGTGTCATCGCGCTTGTTACGCGAACATCCCGCTTTCTATTTCGCCACCCACCCTTCGCGCACCCTGAGCGCGCGCCTACGGCTCCTTCAACTCTCTCGCCCTCGAGCGGGAGAAGAATACAATCTTGGGATCGATCGTGACTGAGGGAGAGAGAAAGGGGGAGAGAAAGAGAGAGAGAGAGAGAGAGAGAGAAAGAGACACACAGTCGCTAAGGCCGGTCGTCGACCCGCCGGCGATTCGGCCACCAGGGCACCCCATTAAACAAGGCGTTAATTAATCTCCAAGCTAATCAAGCAACAGAGCCAGTTTCTATCGCGTAAAACTCCGCGGGCGCCATACCGGCCGGTGCGCCTTTCGGGCGCCGTCGTTTTTATCGTTGTATCCAGCACGGCGGAAAGCTTGTTTCTTAAGTGAAGCACACTCCCCCCCTCCCCCTCCACCGCGTCTCCTCCCCCATCCGATCCCTCGCGATTCAAGCCCTTCACGTAGAGGAGGACCCGGGTTCTCTGCAACGGCGGCAGTAGTGAGCGGGGTGTCAGTTACAGCCCGCCGACGTAATAACGTTTAACAACGCGTCTTTTTTTGTACCTTACTTCTTTGTTCTCGTGTCCCTTCGTGATCGTTCGTCAAGTACAACAACAACAACATCAACAATAATAACAACAACAACCACCATTATCACCACTATCACCACCATCACCCACCACCATCACCACCCACCACCATCACCACTACCAGCACACAGTGGCGTAAAGCGGGATAAAGCGTAATCTCGCAACGCTCAATCGCGTACCTTCGTACCTTCTCGATCGGGCGTCCGATGCTCGATTGACCTTTACGCTCTACCCTCAATTTCCTCCCTCTTCTGTCCCCCGTCCTTCCTCCTCACACCTTCGTCCCGGATTTGCTCCCCCTTTTCGTTTTAAACGATGTATCTTGTTAGTTATTAAGGTACCCGAGATAAGTCCGAGGCGTATCGGTGGATCGGACAATTTCTCCCGAGTCGCGGCAAAAGAAGGGAAAAATAATCCTCACGATACATGCCGGCGCACTTATAAATAATAAACGCGCGCGCGCGAGCCAGCGGGAGGGCAAGCAGAAATAAAAATAGAGCGTCTCGGCGGTGAGTAGCGTAAGAATACGAACGGCAAGGGCCGATTTAACCGGCGGCTCTCGCTCGTCGATTAGACTGTCGCGCGGATATGTCTAAGGTGTTTACGGGCGTTCCTGTGCGTCGCGAGCGACCAACGCCGCTTGTGATAATTGTCTTGACTGTGAATTGTAGCGCAACGTGTGCAAGGCGGACTGTAATCGGCGTATCAACGGATAGATCCGAAATTCATCGGACGCGACTCACGCGGTCGCGGTCGAAATTAGAGTGAAGGAGGAGGTAGAGGAGGAAGGGGGGCGAGAAAGGGAGAGAATATTCGAGTGGCGGTACCGAGGGAATTTACGGGACGAATGACACGGGAGCGGGAGAATCGCGAGACGCGCGGCAACGAGGATTCAGATCTCGGTCCACGATACGCCTCGATCCGACCCACCACCACCCTGTCTAGACGTAGCACTTTTCCCGTAAGCTTTGAAGAAAGGAAGATCGTACGTAAAGTAAAGCTGACAGAAGCAACATGACCGTACACCTCTTTGCAAGACACCCATAAAAACACGCTACACACGTATACACATATACATACACACACACACACACACACACACAGACACACATACTTAACAAGCGCGCGAACACGCGGGTATACAACACACATATACGTTCGTAACGAAGTATACAGTCTTAGTGCAGTGTTTCATATAGTTAGATAGGGAGGCGGCGAGAGAATATTTTTTATATTCTACATGGATTTTACAGTTATATATTATCGTTTCGTACCGGAAGGGAGAAATTTAAGGCGCGTCTAACGCGGTATATAGATATGCATATATACTATATATATGAGAAGCCACACACATACATACATACAGACATACACACGCACAGCCACACAAGAACTCTGAAATACGTGTCGCCATTTATTGTTTAGACCGCGATTGTATGTCGATTATCAATCATTCTTACTGCGGTAGGCGCTGTCGTTTATCGTATCTACATATACGTGTATACATATACGTACATTACACACACACACACACACAGCCAACGCATACGTACACAAACACGTAAGCATTACGTGTCATTCGTGATCTCGTCGACGATTCTATTATCTCATCGCTCAACGACAGTGCGACAGGTTTATCTAAGGGCTCCCCGAGAGGGTCGGTCGATTAAATGCGGTATCGACGGCAGGTGCGTGAGTACGTTGCGCCGCAACGTGCGCGTCCCTCGCACTTTCTCCTTCCAGCCCGAAAGCTTTTTCCTTACTCCTGTTCCGCGAGGAGGACAGTGCACGCCGGAGGTGGCACACATACACACACGACAGGATCGATCGCGAAGTATCGCAGGGCATTTCATTGACACGCGTATACATATATGATACACACGACCACAGGATGGACAGACAAGCACACCCAGACAGATATTCGCACACAGACACGCAGAGACACGCATCAGCATACACGCGCGGGAGAGAACGCTAGACCAACGTACTTGCAAATTAATGTACTGATCGTTTTTCAATGGAACGATGAAGTCACGAGCAGAGATTGAAATCGGTATTATTCCGGCGACTTGCGCGATGTCGAGATACGCGTAAGTAAGTACCTTGACACGCCGGTGACCCACGCGAATGTGGACGATTAATCCCGGCGTGTCCGTTGCGCGGATAAGGGCGGGTGGGATTCGGGGACAGAGGGAAGGGAGGATGAGTGTTTTAAACTTTAAGGAATCATACCGGTCTCGATGCCTGGTCACCAGGAACAGTGATAAGGAGGTACATAGGTACAACACGAGTACATGCGCCGGGCGAGAGCAATTTCGGAACCGAGTTGACGTACATAAACGTAACACGATACGATTAGGGTATATCGTTTAAAGCGTATAATTAGTAGTGTTAATTTCGTTACGGCTTTGTTTCGAGTGTTCGACACGAGAGAGAGAGAGAGAGAGAGAGAGAGAGAGAGAGAGAGAGAGAGAGAGAGAG